GACACTGAAGATGCTGAGGGACAGCAACATGAGCCTGCAGTGCAAGCTGGAGCACGTCTTGTTACTGGAGGTGGAGGGCCCAAGGGAGCCCCAAGTCTCACCTGTAGGTCTTCACCAGCTTGTCAGCATACGTGTACATGAGTAAGTCATCCAGAATCTGGTCCATGCAGGCACTGATGTGGCGCTCAGGGATGCCGTGGATGCAGGCGTACATGACCAGCATCTCCCGGCCAGTCATGTGGTTGAGCAGGACATCAAACTGGGGACAGTAGCCGGCCTACTGCCGTGCCTGGGTGGGAACACAGTCCAGGAGGGAGGCACGTGAGAAGGAAAGCCAACCGAGCAGGGGCCTGGGCAGACATCTGCCTCGGGGGTTGACACTAGGGAGCTGGGGATGCAGTGCTTGCTGCTGGCATCTGTGAATGGGAACACTGGGGGCCAGAGTGCTGGTGGCGCCCCTCCTCCTGCCTGCCTGGCATGAAACCTCCCTGCCCAGCACCTCCCTGCCTCTTGTCACCTTCCACGTGTCCAGTAAGTAGACGATGCTTAATTTTTTCCCCTTAAAAATATTTTCTATTAGACATGTTCCTCCATGAAATTGGCTTATGGCTCATTTGGGGTACCGTCCCTGTCTGGTTTCAACATCACTTACGAGCTGGTAGTGCCCCACCTTCTTGCCCGTGATTCTAAAGGGTTATATGGGAAAGAGATGATCAGTTTGGTGGTGGTAGGTAGACTGCCCATCAATCCCTTTCTTTTAAGAAGGGGTAGATCTTTGACCACTGTGTCATTTTTACCTTTAGTTTTGGTCTATACAGGTTTTCTATTTCTTGAAGCAGTTTTGGGATAGAAGTCTTGAAAGTGTAGTGATGTGATTTAAAGATTATAGAAATGTAAAATATGGTACACACCGGAGTTTGGAGTAAACCTGTCGCCATGGCAGGTGGCTCACTTGGGACAGCCAGGAGCCCGTTCAGCACACAGGGGCACCACGGACGGATGGCGGGCCTGGAGTGGAGCCAGGGATGCTGGGGCAGGCGCGACTCTGGGAGAACTGCATGTGGACTCTCGGGTCACTGTTGACTTTTGTAATACCAGCAGATTCTGGTAAGAATGTATTTTAGGAAATGTGAAAAGAATGCTCTAAGATACTTGTACAGATAAGCGGGGGCAAGCAGAAGACTCACAGTGGGTGAGGGCAAGAAGGTGGCTTTGTAGAGCTTGCTGATGAGATGTATTCCCATGAGCTTTTCAGGAGAGGGCAGAGAAACAGAGGAGCTGGCTTAACTATATTTAAATTCCAGATTTCTAGCCGTGACTTTTCACAAACTGCCAGGAGGTACTGTGCAGTTGGGTTCCAGGAAGACTGAAATCCAGTTTCTTGGCAACCAGGCAGGATAAGGGCCTGCAGGCAGATGTCACTTAGTATTAAATAACACAGAAATACAACATTTCTTATCATCTGAGCTCATGGCTTAGGTTCATACTTTCCTCTTTATGAACTTCAGCAATGTCAGCTAGAGAATGACTGACAGGAGACCTGCCTGGGACCATCTGCGCTTGTCCTGTCCTGTCTTCTCTTTCATCCCTTTGTTTGTCCCTTCCTTCCTTTTTGTAACACCTTTATGGAGATCTAATTCACACACTATACAATTCGCCCGTGGACTGTGTACAACTCAGTGGTTTTCAGCATAATTAGAGTGGTGGGTCCAGCATCACAGACAGTTTTAGACCATCTCAACACCCCCAAAAGAAACTCCATGTCCATTAACAGTCAGCCCCCTATTTGCCACAATACTTTCAGCTCCCAGCAACCACTCATCTACTCACTGTCTCTGTAGCTTTGCCTGTTCTGGGCATTTCATATAAATGGGATCACATAATGCGTGGCCTGTGTGTGTGGCTTCTTTCTCTCAGCATAATGTTTATGGGATTCATCCACGTTGTACCATGTGTCAGTGCTCTGTTCCTTTATATGACTGGGTGATACTCCATTGTAGGAATAACATTCCATTCCAGTAAGATTCTATTATACCCAAAACAGACCACATTTTGGTTATCCATTCATCTGCTGATGGTTGTTTGAGTTCTCTCCACCTTTTGGGTATTGTAATGCTGCTATGAACACTTAGGAACGAATTTTTGTGTGGATGTAGGTTTCAGATCTCGGGTTTTCACCTAGGAGCGGAGTTGCTGAGTCCAATAACTTTATGTTTAACCTTTTGAATACCCTCTTGGATAATCTTACTCTTTTAAATAGAATCTTAGTCCATTTATATTTAATGTAATTAGTGATCTATTTGGATTTAAATTTACCAACTTATTAGAGGCTATTTGTCCTATATGCCCCACATTCCTTTTGCTCTCTCACTTCTTGTTTTCTGTCACATTATTTTTTCATTTTTCTATTGTCTCCCTCTATTGGCTTAAAAGATATTTAGAGCCCCTTCCCATTTTTCTGGTTGTTTCCTTAGATACTGAAGTGTTGTTGGCCGGGCACAGGTGTTCATGGATTGTTCCTTACCACACGAGCCCCTCCACAGGGTCTATCTTCAGGACATGGCAGTCAGCATCCCCACAGTGAGTGATGCAAGGGACAGAGTGTGCTCCAGACAGAAGCTGCAGTGCCTTTTATAACTCAGTCTCAGCAGTGACACCCTGTCTCTGTATGGGTCACACCGACCCGTCCTGTATGGGATGGGGACTACACAGGGTGTGAACACCAGGAGGGGCTACGAGGGTCTGTCTGGAAGATACACCACAATGCCTCTTACTTTCTTCTGTACATTTTCTACCCTTTTGACTCCCCATGCTTCATTCTAAATTATTTATTTTTGGGGGGTGTTGTCTTTTATGTACATGTACCAGGTTATTTTCTATTGTGTACCAAGCATTGCATTTGCAGAGCTGTTTGTAGAAATAATTTGAGGCCTCGAGTGGTATCATCTTCCACCAGAGAGGATTTACATTTACTTCTGCAAGGTGCCTGGGAGCACTGGTGGCTTTGGGTCATTTCAGGCCCATTTTAGGGACTGCTATGGGTCCCAGCTGTTTTGCAGTCCTTGGATGAGCTTGTCTAGGTATAGGTCGTCCCTCACCTGGGGTGCAGTCCTTCAGGGTCCCAACCCAAAGGAAGGGTACACCAGGGGCCTGCCTTGGATCCCAGTGCCCGTTACCTCAGCGCCAAGAGCAACACTCAGCTCTCAGCCGCACAGGCTCAGCTGGTTCCCTCCCGGGCCTCTGTCCTCTTGCCTCTTCACCATCTTGTCAGCTTTCTGGAGCCTCCAAACACGTGTTTTTTAAATTTGGTCCTTTTTTCTAGTTCTTATCACCAGAAAGGGGGTCAGAGTTACATAATTTGCCATTACCAGAAGCTTTGTGCCTAATTTTTAAAGTAATACAAAAAGTTAAAATTGATAGTAAATGTTTCATAGGCACGAGAGGCCTGTATTGGCTATGATTGTTCCACAGGCTATATATACCAAAAGATTGGTAATTAAAAGCATGGATTCTGGAACCAGCCTGTGTAGGTTCTTCTGTCTTCTCTCTGAATGTTATTTTGGTCATGGACATTGAAGCTGGTTTGATAAAATTCTTGACAATACCACGGTTCGTGCTGTTAGCAGTGCCACTTTGATGATGACAATCTGGTTCACCCTCTCTGTTGAGTCGACCGTGCGCTGGTCCCCCTTGCTACACTTACATCACGGCGTGGCGATGGCTCGTTCATATGCTCCTGAGCTCCTTGCAAGTGCGGATCAGACTCCTGGGCCAATGGGATTGTTGGCACATAGTAGGCATTCATTGAATAGTTTCACTGAATGGGAGACCCCAAGAAGAAAGCCAGGCTTGAGGGGTGTATCGCACATTAGAGTTCAGAATGGAGACATCTGAGTAAGGCTGTCGAGAAGGCATGGGTGTGCAGTTCTGGAGGCCAGGACTGGGGCTGGGCTGGGGACATGGCTGCATGGGGGCCATCAGCAAACAGATAATGGGAGTCCGAACAGCAAATGAGATCAGGTGGGGACAGTGAGCGCGGAACAAGAAAAGGCAGGGATGGCACTGCAGCATGAGGAATGCCACATTCTAACAGACCGTAAGACGTACCAGCAGAGTCTGAGAGAGAAGTGCTTGTGACAGAGACCAGTCAATGAAGAACAAAGGGAGCATGGGGTTTGGAGGAGGGAAAGGTCAGCATCACGTGATGTGGTGGAGAAGGCAGGGAAGGCGACACTGAATGTCAGGAATAGACGTGACCAGGGTGAGCACTGTGGGAGTGGGGCCAGCACCACAGAGCCCAGGCTGTTTGGGAGAAGCGCCCATGGGCATCCTGGGTGGTGGCTTGGGCAGCAGTAGATGTATGCCAGTCACTCCCCCAGGAAGCTCAGTGGAGGGGGAGAAAGAGGCTGGGGTGTGTAGGGACAGCTGGTGGCTCTGGGGATCTGTGGGGGCCCGGCCTACAGCCGAGGCTGAGCCCCACTCCACCTGGACAATGCCCTAAAGATGGCACCTGCTTCCCTGTTGGGGATTGGCCCAGCAGACTTCCGTACCCGTGCACAGCTCGTGCTGCCCGCTTAGAGTGGCGCGTGACACCTATCCGCTTAAAGGTCACGCATGATACTGTCCCGGATTGGTTGGGTGACTGAATATAAGGGAGCCCGCCGGGAGGGA